AGAGAGAGAGAGAGAGAGAGAGTCTGCAGGGGCGAGGTTCACCGCCACGGGAGGAAAAACCAGTTTGTGGAGGGTGTGTTCCTTCAGCCGTACCGACCGGACGAGCTTCTCCCTGCATCAGAGAGCTGCAGGTGACTCGCTCCATCACACCCCAACGTCTCCTTCTCCTCCACTCCGCTGAGCTTCCTCCCCAGGGTAGAAGAAGAAGAAGAAGAAGAAGAAGAAGATGCCCCTCCAGTCCACGCTGTCCGGCCGGAGCTCCAACTCCACCCAGGCCGTGGACACCCAGTCGGACGGGAAGTCGTTTGAGCAGCTGAGGCAGGAATGTCTGCAGAAGGGCGTCCTGTTCGAGGACCCCGACTTCCCTGCCGTCGACTCCTCGCTCTTCTACAGCCAGAGCGTTCCCGTCAACATTGAATGGAAGAGGCCCAAGGTACGTTGGTGCAGAGCATCTGCAGAGGTCTGGTTGTAGCGCTGTGATTGGCTCATGCTGCAGAGCACCGAGTGTCTAAATGTCTCCAACTGTCCTGAAATCTGCTGTTTGTCTGAAAAATAAATGAGGATTTAGGGAAATGTGTGATTGGATCAGTTCAAGCTCTGATGATCAAACTTTATTCAGTTTGAACTGTGGTTCAGAACGACCTGAATAGATTGAATGAGCAGCAGCAGATCATCTTTAATCACTGATGTTAAGAAGAAGAGGTGAGAGTTGCTCTGAAGTCAGTTTTATAACCTTTAATACAAAAAGGTGATTAGATATTTATTCAGCTGCTGCTGCTGAACCAGTTCTGCCAGAAAACAGTGTAAATAGAGTGAAGTGCAGGTTCTTCAGTCTCAGTACACAGACTTTACACCCACACGCCTCGACAGCGTCTGCACCGGAGCCACGTTTGGTTTTTTTTGATAGTGAAAATGAAAAGAATAATCAATATTCACACAGCACCTTTCAAAACTCAGTTGTAAAAAGCTTTACACGCTCAAAACTGAAGACAAAAGAGTTTCAAGCAGTTTGAAGTTCACACAGAAATGAAAAGTGTTTAAGACCAGACGAGAGTAAAAACAAGATCAAACAGAGTAAAAATATTAAAATAGTCGATAAGATCCTAACCAGGAGGAAGAGGTGGTTCCACAGAGAGGGGGCGCTCTAACAGAGGGCCGGTCACCTCTGGTCCTCAAGGATGCTGAACAGGTGACGACCAAAGATCTGAAATGTACTGAGGTGCGAGTCCAGAACAAACTTTAGAGTCAACAGTAAAAACTTTGAGTCAATTCTAAAACTGACCTGAAACCAGAATCAGCATAAATTCTTTTCATAGGATAAAATCTCAAACCTGTAAACTTGTGTCAGTGAAACTCAAACGTCACGTTTGGTAAAGTTACTACACATTTCTCCGCGGGGCGTTTCTTCCCCCTGGATGTTTCAGCTGCCTGCGTGTGGCGTGTTGTTCTGCTCGTGTTGCGGTGACTGGGATCTCAGGCTGATTAATATGTCTGGAATGTGAACACACCTTCCCCAGGCAGCAGTGTCACCTCTCACCTGTCAGTCCCAGTGAATACACCAACCTGTTCTCTGTCCTCTCGTCCCTTCCGCAGGAGATCTGCGACAACCCAAAGTTCATCGTGGGTGATGCCAACAGGACGGACATCTGCCAGGGACAGCTGGGTGAGTCCTCTGCAGGAGTCTCGCCGCGTCGTCCGTCCACACGCGCGCCTCACTTATTCACCTGTGATGCACTTTGTCTGTCACCACAGGGGACTGCTGGCTCCTGGCAGCCATCGCATCCCTGACTCTGAAGAAAGACACGCTGGCCCGAGTCGTCCCCCATGACCAGGACTTCGACCGCAGATACGCCGGCATCTTTCACTTCCAGGTGCGCAGGTGCACGTATCTCCTGTTGTTCTCTTCAGAGAGTCGGAGAATCTACAATAAAACATATGGGTTCAGACGAGAAGAACTACGTAGTGAATCATATTCCATAGGTTTAATACTCAAATTCAATCTGTTCAATACTCCCTCCCTCCCTCCCCCTCTCCCTCTCTCCCTCCCTCTCTCCCTCAGTTCTGGCAACACAACCAGTGGCTGGACGTGGTGGTGGACGACAGACTGCCGTCAGTGAGAGATCAGCTCATCCTCGTTCACTCCGCCTCCAACAACGAGTTCTGGAGCGCCCTCCTGGAGAAGGCCTACGCCAAGTAATGCCTCAATAAACACTGGACGTGCCCCCCCCCCCCAGGATACCACTTGAAATCTGCTAGATCCAAATTTCACTCAGAACACGGTTCCTGGACTTCTGTCCTGGCTCGTGTCTCATCCTGAAATCTGTTCAGTATTCTTTGTGGGTGAAAACCAAACGTCCTTGGCGGAGGTGATTGAACACTGTTCCTCACTCGTGGTCTACAGCGGAGGTTCCCAAACTTTTCAGCCTCTCGAATCCCAAAATAAAGTTGACAGACATTGTGACAAACATCCATTTTCCCTGAAGAACACGTGTACTCGTGTTTCCTGCGCTGCTGCGTCAAACTAAATCATTCGACAACACATCACCTCAGCTGCAGGTTCATCCAGATTCGTGTGGATGTAGCTTCAGTGTCTTGCGACCCCCCTGGGGGTCCTGAACCCTAGTTTGAGAACCACTGCGCTCCAGTATCTTGTCTCAGTGAGCTGTTCATGTTTAATTTGATTTAAGCGACTGACGTGTTTCTGTATTTCTGCTCGGTTCAGACTGCACGGCAGCTACGAGTCCCTGAAGGGCGGCAGCACGATGGAGGCCATGGAGGACTTCACCGGCGGCGTTGGGGAAGTGTACGAAACCAAGAACGCTCCCAACAACCTGTTCTCCATCATGAAGAAGGCCCTGGACCGAGGCTCCATGATGGGCTGCTCCATCGACGTAAAGATCTGATCCACAGAGCTCATGATGTTACATTTGTCTCTGAACGTGGTTATGGCTCCACAGCGTTTAACCGTCTGCTCGTTGTTTGGTTTTCTCCAGATCAGCAGCTCTGCCGAGTCCGAGGCCAAGACGAGCACCGGCCTGGTGAAGGGACACGCGTACTCCATCACAGGCGTGGAGGAGGTGAGCGCCACCATCAGGAGAACAGCTGTCATGTGTTTCTGACTGGAATCAGCATCAGGGCAGAAACCGATAAACATCTTTTAGTAAATTACACTGAAGCTGAAAAAAAACCTCGAGGACAAATCTCAAAACCTAAAAATACATAAAAACCTTTTTATTGTTCCATTTTGATTTGAAGACCTAAAAATCAAAGCCAGATCTTTTTCCTAAAACAAATCTTCTGTCCGCTATGTGAGATAATTGCAGTTTTACCATCTCAATAAATAATGATTCATAGTTTTGTTCTGACTCTCAGGTGAATTACCGAGGACAGAAAGTCCAGCTGATCCGGATCAGAAACCCCTGGGGTCAGGTGGAGTGGAACGGCCCCTGGAGTGACGAGTAAGAGTCGGTTTAGTTTTAATGGTTCAGTAGTTTTACTTCTCTGGAATTATCTTGTGGTGTTTTTCTAGTTTTATCTCATCTCTTAAAATAGTTGTTTTTGTAGTTTTGCCGCTTTATGAGGAAACGTGGACTCTCTCTCTCTCTCTCTCTCTCTCTCTCTCTCCCTCTCTCCCTCTCTCTCTCTCTCTCCCTCCCTCCCTCTCTCTCTCTCTCCCTCCCTCTCTCCCTGTTGTAACGTGTGGTTTCTCTTTCAGCTCCAGAGAGTGGAGCTATGTGGACAAAGCAGAGAAGAATCGTATCATGCAGAATTCATCAGATGACGGTGAATTCTGGTGAGTCGACTCCGTGACGTGGTTCAAACTGAAGACTCAGGTTCAACAGATCTGTTCAGTTCAGTTTATCTTAAATTCAGGTTGTTTATCTTTATCTCCTTCCTTCCTCGTTCCTTCACTCGTTCATAATATTTGAGAAAAGGTTTGATTCCCCTGCCTTCCAGAAGTGTGGGCTTGTTTTTGGACGTCCGTTTCGCAGCCTTGTTAAAACGTCGTCTAGTTGATGGCGACCTGATGCTCAAACAGAAACTCTGAGTCATAACCTCAGACCTGAATAATAACGTCTCCCACATGTCTGAATGTAGAACTCGACTCTGTGGCGACAGGTTTTAAAGTGTGAGAGAGGTGAACTCTGCTGATGTGTGACCTTGATGGTGTGTGTTGACTCCAGGATGGAGTTTGAGGACTTCAAGAGGAACTACGACAAGGCTGAGATCTGCAACATGACCCCGGACGCCCTGACCGACAACACCAAGCGCCACTGGGAGGTCAGCATGTTCCAGGGAAACTGGATCCGCGGCTCCACCGCTGGAGGCTGCAGGAACTACATCGGTGAGGCCGCCAGCTGAACATTCAAGTCAACACGAGGACGGACATTGATTCGATGTGTTTAAATGTTCAAGTGTGATCTTTAAAACTCTTCAACCCTCAGACACGTTTTGGACCAACCCGCAGTACAAGCTGGAGCTGGAGGACGCTGACGATGAGGATGACGTGTGCAGCGTGGTCATCGCTCTGATGCAGAAGAACAGACGGAAGCTGAGGAAGGAAGGTCTGGACCTGGAGACCATCGGCTTCGCTGTGTACGAGGTCGGAAAAAACATGTTCAACACTTTGTTCTTTATAGAGAAACTTTAAAAATCCACATTCAAGTTTCCAAACATAAGTCACACAGATAGATAGATGGATAGATGATAGATCGATAGATAGATAGATAGATGTATGATAGATAGATAGATAGATAGATAGATAGATAGATGATAGATAGATAG